CCTAAATAAGGATAATTGAGTGCTTTCAGTAATTCTGTTTATTCACTGCTTGAGATGCTCTACCTGTGTCAGGCTCAAGCTTTTGAGGTTTGACACAGAATTTGTGAATTCCCCTCCATTGTGTCCCCAGTGCTGGAGGAGCAGCTCAGCTCTCCTGCTGCTCTCCCTGCAGGAATTCCAGGCATGCACGAGTCTGGTGTTTAGAAAGAGGGCTGACCAAGCTTGAACAATGATTTCCCTGGGTGAAAAGCTATTGGAAAATACGCCTGGAAATAAGAAGTTTTTATTTTGACGACACTTAAAACCTTTTAGCCGAAGCTTATTTTCATAGAATGATTTCTAGACGTCATTAACCAAGCTACCTGGCAACTTGCAGCCTAATTTTGAGCTCAGTTTGGTTCTGTTCTGGGGAAATTGTTCTGTGCTTCTCACCATTGGTTGCATGTCCTCATGAAATACAGTTTGTTCTTTTCCCCTGCTTTCTGTTTCAGTCTGTTATAATGTATCATTTTTAATGCAAAGTGAACGAACATTAGGTTTAATTAGGAAAGAACACATTAGGGAAAGAAAAGTAGTGGAATGTGTGGTGCTTTCTGTGCTGGGAGGATTTTTGTGGCTTTGGAACTTGCCAGAGCACAATTCCTACACAGTTTTTCCTGGTAATCTTTGTTCCTGGAGAGGGAAATTGGTGGTTCTCTCCGTTCTGGAGGTCTTAGGTGGCCTGAATTTCTCTGTGCTGTAGCAGCTCTGTGTGGGCACTGCACAGATGAGGAGTCTGAGCCTGGCCTGGTGTTCTGTGACAATTGCAGGCTGGTAGGAATCACAGTTTTTATGTGGTTTTGGTTTCATAGTAGACTTTGTCCCAGTGTTTGTGTCTATGACCCAGATCTGTTCTTGGTACTGGTGGATCTGAAGGTCACTGAGGCTATTTCAGGAGGGTGAACACACCCACAGCTGGATTTAAAGCCCAGCTGTGCTGTAATGTCACCGTGGTGTGGTGGCTGAGCTCTGCTGGCCTGTGGCACTGCTACATAAGAGACATTTCCGGGGAGGAGATGCCCCAGAATCCCAAAATCACTTGGGTCAGGAAATCCCTCCAAGAATATCGAGTCCAGAGCACTGAGTGCCACATCCAGGAATTCCTTGGATACCTCCAGGGATGGGGAATCCAAACCTTGCCCAGGAAGCCCCTTCCAAAGCCTGACCACCCTTTCTGGGAAGAAATTGCTCCTGATGTCCAGCCTGACCCTCCCCTGGCACATCTTGGGGCTGTTTCCTCTCGTCCTGTCCCTGTTCCCTGGCAGCAGGGAGGTGCAGAGAGCAGGACGTGAGTGTCCCTCTGGCCATGGCTTCTTGCTCTTGTCCAAGTTCACCAAAGCAAGAAAGATCAGGAGAGACATCTTGGAGTGACTGAGATTGGAGACCTTCAAGTGCCCTAAGCAGGGGCAGACCCTGTGTTGCAGACTTTGCAGAGCACCATCCCACATTCCCAAAGCTTTTCCTGCCCAGGAAAGGAGCCTGTGTCTGGTGCAGATGTCACTGCTGCTTTGTTTGTCAGGATTCTGTATTTATACACAGCACGTTTCGGGAGGATTTGGAAACAGCTTGATATTTTTGTTCTCTAATTTGCTATTTTGCCTACTAGAAAGCGGCTACATCAGCGTTTTGGACCATGTTCAGGCCTGCTGTAAATAGATGCAGCTTCCTTTCAATCAGTGACATTGTGAACACTTGTATTGGGGCTAAACATGGCTATTTTTAGCTCTGCTCTCTCACCTAGTCACTCCTGTTTGCTTTAATAAGATTTTTATTTACTCCTGTTAAAAGGTTACTTGAATCAGATGCTCATAAAATTCCAGTTAGAATTAGATAAGCAGTTTCCTCCAAGTGTTTTATGATGGACTTCCTCGTTGTTGTTCTATTTTATTTTATTTTATTTATTATTCTGTGCTCTCAGCTAATTGACAGGGATGAAGAGGTAGTGTTGTGGCTGCAGGTGACCTTTAGAATGCTGGAGGAGGCAGAGGCCAGTGCTGGCCCCTGTGGCTGTGGCTGCTGTCCTGGGGAGATGTTGGCAGAGCCACAGCCTGAGAGCAGGGCAGGAAAATGCCACGGAAATGGAAAATGATGAGAAGGTGGCTTTAATTCTGATGAGTAACCCTAGTGAGGCCACATCTGGGCTGTGGTGTTCAATTCTGGTCTCTGCTGTTCAAGAAAGACAAGGAGCTCCTGGAGAGGATCCAGTGGAGCCCACAAACGTGATGAGGGGTCTGGAGTGTGTGGCTGGTCACCAGCAGCATTCCTGTTCTTTGATTGTGGGAAGGGCTGAATTCTGGAGGCAAAAACCAAGGGTGGAGGGATAGCATTGATGAGAGTCAGGATTTCATGCAAAATTGCTGTGGTCATGCTAGAAAAACAAATTATCTGAAATAAATACTGAAACAAACATTCATGTTCTGTTTCAAAGAGATGGGTTAACTTAGTTCTCCTCCTTGTGCCCTCCAAGCTTGTGACAGGGACATTGTCCAGCTGGGGATGAGCTCTGGGAATACCTGGGATTTTGGGTGAGCTGCCTGACCTGAATCTGCTCTCCCCACCACCCCATCCCTGCTTGGGAGCCTCTGGTGAACACTACAAACCTCAAAGGTGGCCTTCACCCCTCCTTGAAATACATTTTGCCTTGGTGATTAGAGTCAGTGCAATTAATGGTGAATTTGTCTTAGGATTGTCCATACAAAGATAAAGGGGAAAATGATTGTCCAGAGACTGGGAAGGAGGAAGGTGGGAGCCCAGAGGAGCTGGGTGCTGCCTTGCACTCTGTGTGTGTATTATTGATATCATCCATCACTTTGGTGTTACCAGAAGAAGCTCTTAAAAAATATTTTTCCTTTCCCTTAACAACCAGTGATCTGGTTGTTGCAGAAATTATATAGTTATAGCAGAAGGAATCTTTAAAGCCAAAGCTGTCAGCATCTTTATTTCATAAATAATTGCTGGTTCTTTTTAGCTGTTACTTAACGCTATCATTTTATTAATTCCTGCTTTCTGTTCCTGGGCTTATTTTTCTGTGTGCTGTTAACTGTGCTTATTGTGCTCCTCGTCAGCTCTCCCTGAACTTCTTAAAACTCCTGTCACTTACTGAGTGCTGCATCTGTCACTTCGTTGTGCCATTATGTGAGAGCTGCAGTTTCTGGCTGATCATTTTTCACTCAATCCAAGAGCAGCAGTAAAGGAGGAGATTTCCTTTGTGCTGCAGGGGAAGTGCAGGGTCTGCTGATAGAATGGGAGGTCGAAACAGAAACAATTCCAGTCTGGGGAACATTAGGCTCTAATTGGATTTGTCTGAATCATAGAATCACTGAATGGTTTGGGTTGGAGAGGACCTTAAAGATCATCCAGTGCCATGGGTAGGAACAGCTTCTATTATCCCAGGCTGCTCCAAGCCCTGTCCAACCTGCCCTTGGACACTTGCAGGGGTGGGAACAGCTCCAGTTTCTCTGGGCAACCTGTGCAGGGCCTCAGCACCCTCACAGGCAATGATTTCTTCCATAGATGTCACCTGAATTTCCCTTTCAGTCTGAAGTCATTCCCCCTTGTCCTGCCACTCGAATTCCTGATACAAAATCCCTCTCCAGATTTCTTGTAGTCCCTTCAGGTCCTGGAAGGTGCTGTGAGGATTCCACACAACCTTTTCTTCCCCAGGCTGAACAGCCTCAGCTCTCAGTCTGTATATTTGGGGTATATCTGGATATATTTTGTATATTTTGGGTATATCTGGGTTTTTGCAGTGCAGTGCCAAGGGGCCTCGGGGAGGAGCAGCCCATGTCCTGTGGCTGCATAAGCCTCTGATTGTTCCCTGTGCCATGGGCCTGGGAACCTCTTCTTTCTCTGCCATAATTAAATTTAAAAAGTTTGGAAAATACTAAGCAGGGCTGGAATGTTTGGCGTGGTCTTGCTGGAAATGTGTGTTGGTATATTTTCACACTCCTCCCACAGTTGTCTTTGTGGTTTATTGTTGTGTTTTTTTGTTGTTTGTGGGTTTTTTTGGGTTCCAGCCAGGAGCTGGGACCAAGCCAGGGATTTTTCTTTCACTGCATTCAGTGCTGTTTGTGCCACTCTTTAGTCTCTTAATTACCCAATCTTTGGTTCATTGTCCTAGAAAAGTTCAGTCCATTCAGCAGGATTCTGCTCCGTGCTGCTGCTGGTTCCATCATGTGGGAAATAAGGAATTTGAGTCAGCTCCCAAAATTTCACTTTTTGTCCTCAAAAAGCCGGGCTGGCAAGGAGAGGTGGAGGTGCACGGTCTGGCTGAGGAGATTGGGGACTTTGGGTGCATTTGGCAGTGATGGGGACATTTGTGACACAGATTCCTGTGTGGAATTCCAGGGTAGCAGGTGCCAGCTCAGAGGCAGAGAAAGACAGTGCTTCCATGGGATGAGGCTTGTGAACAGTGCATTAAAATTCTCCTAATGGGAGATTCTCATCTGCAGCCTGCCAGGGTCATGCTCTAAATTACTTGCAAAGGAACTGTAAAGACCCTGATGTAATTTATTGAGCAATAAAACCCATTAGAGGTAACATGAACCGGTAATTCTGAAATGAGAGTGCAGGAGAGGTTGTGCTTCATCAGTGAAATGTAGGTAAATCTCTTACAAAAAAAACAACCCAAAACGTGAATAGTGTCTCGTTTTTACAGGGGGGGAAAACAGGAAGAAAATGTGGTCTGAAGAGGAACAGGATATTTTGATGCATTATGGAAATGCCTCATAAAATCCTCAGCAGGTGGAAGCAGTAATGGGCTTAATACACCTGTGGGAGGGGAGGCAGGCTTGGGATCCTTTTGTGCTGGAAATGGGAATCAGAATCCTAAACCTTGGCAACTGGGGATGCTCACACAGATTTACACAGCCTGTGGTGGAACTCAGGTGGTTTCATGAGCCTTTTTACAAGTCACCAGTGTAATGAGACAAGCTTTTCTGATTTTCTGTTTTTCCTTCCAGGATTTTTGCTCTTTAAAGACTATTGCATGAATGAGATCGATGAAGCTGTCCCTCAGCTGAAGTTCTATGAAGAGGTAAGTGCTGGTGATGGAGGTTTGGGGCTGTGCAGGTGGTGAGGCTGAGGGAGGCTCTCCTGCTCCATCAGGGAATGCTGAGAGGAAAGGACAGGATCCATGATGTGAAGCAGTGTGGACTGGTAGAAAAGGATCTGGGATGATGTTCCTGGGGTTGGGGTGACACTGAAACCCTTCAGATCTTTCCCAGCAGCCTTTTTCACCTGTAGGAGAGGCAGCAGGGTACAGCTGGAGGGGACTGTGGAGGGATGTGGGGTGGGAGCTGCTCACATATTTCAGGAGCTGCTGTGACAGGGCTGCAAAGGGGACACGAGAGGTGGCTTTGGATGGATGAGTTGTGTCCCTTGTCAGGAGATACTCTGTGAAGGAGCTGACAGGCACTGAGCAGGGCACGTCCCAGAGCATCAATAATTCCAAGGGATGCCCTGACCCTCCCCAGCTTCTGCTGCTGCACTGTCTGAGCTCCATGGCTCCATTCATTTTTCCCTGTTACATTTGTGACACTGAATAAAACCAAACCCCCAGTGAATCCTCTCCCAGGAGCTGATTTCAGGGCAGAAATGCCCATGCCTGATGCTCAGGGTTCATTAGAGCTGGGATAACCTTGGCTGCCTCACTCTTGAGCTGAGAATTTAACTTTTTTTCTTGCTATCAGCACAAACAACTGGTATCAATTTGGAGATCAGTCCTCAGCAAGACTCCATTCCCCCCCTCAGATCAGATACCTGCTGTCAATAAAGAATCTTTTTCCATCTCTTTATACACTGAAGATATCACTGTCATAAGTAATCCGAAAAGGCCTGTTGTACCAGATTATTTAGCAAGATATTTTTGGCTGCCTCTTTATCTCTGAAACAATTCAAAATTGTATTTTTAGGTTATTAGCAAAGTGTTGCCTCAAAAGAATTTCAGTGCTTTGTCATGTACTTCTGGAAAAATCCCATTAAAGATATTTAAAGAGAGGTTCATTGTGTTTTCCTCTGTGACATACCGGATCCAGGAGCTTTTCCCTTTTTTTATATATTTGATTTACTTGCTGCATTTATTACACATAGAATAATCTGAGTACATTGCTACATTAAAAATTGCTTGATGTAGAAGAGCTCTGTACTCCAGGGATTTCATATCACTGCAGCTGGAGTCACGATCAGGCATTTAACAGGATGAGTGATTCATCCCGATCGGTTTCAGAAGGAAAAGAAAAGAAATTAAATGAAAAAGGGGGGGGGGGGAAGGAAAAAAAGAATACTTGAAATACTTGAAAACAAATGCATTCTGATCCTAATTTTTGAGGAGATCCTTTTGATCTCTGGGGAGCTCTGTTGAGACCCCTCAGCACTGGCTGGGGAGTTGGGTCCATTAACAACCAAACACTGAGGGATAGGAGGTTGTGCTCAAATAAGACAATCAGATATCCATCAGGCTTCCTCCTGTACTGCTAATTATTTTGTGTCATTGCATTAATTAAAAGTGTTTCTTGGGCAAAGACGTTTTGAGTCATTTTAATTATAAATTGGTATCAAGGGGGAAGCAGCACAGATGGCAAATTGGGGTGGGACTGGTGCCTTTATCATGTCAGCAAACAAGAGGAGTACAGCTAGAAAGATACTGAGTTTAATTAATGTTCCACCTCCAGAGGTAGGTTGGTCCCAGTTTGTCTCTTGGTAATTGAACTCAGTGATCTTGGAGGATTTTTCCCACCCTAAGCAATCCTGGGATTCTGTGGCACAGAGCAGATCTGCTCACTGCCAGGTATCTGGATCCCAGCAATTCACAGGCTGATGCTGGGAAGGTCCAGGAACTCAGAGCTGAGTCTTTCCCCTAAAGATCTTGAATATTTTTTTTTAAATTGTCACTCCTGGAAGAACCCTTTCCCTCAATATGCTCCAGAGGACCCTTGGACTCGGTGAACTTTTTGTTCTGGTTGTCAGGTTTTGTTCTGTAAATGAACCATCTGGGGTTGCTGTTGTTTCACCTGGAATATGCTGATCTCCTACAGCACACCTGAGGAAACTTGATGAATTTTGTAAAACTGTCTTTCAGCCGGTTTAGGGTTGTCTTTCAACCTTTAGGGTTCAAATCCACAGCGTAGCTGAATTATGTGAGCATTTTAAAATGTTCTTTATATTCTTTCTTGGACATCTGTACCTGATGTGCTGTGGTCCAGGAATCAGGGAATTTTTGAGTTGGAAGAGCCCTTTCAGCCCATCATGTCCCACTGTTCACTCAAGCATTGCCAAGGCCACCACTGAGCATGTCCCCAAGTGCCACAACCTGTTAAACCCCTGCAGGGATGGGGATTCCACCAGTGCCCCTGGGCAGCTGTTCCAGGGCTGAAAAATTCCAATATTAAAGGGAAATCCCAGCTGTAACCGTGCCGGTGCAGGTGATTTTTCATCAGTAAAGAAAACAATAAAATAAAACTTCAGCCAAAGTCCTGTTTTGACCCAAGGAGTGAGAAATCACAAGAAAATGTTTGGTGCTTGTGCTGCAGATCAAGGAGTACGAGAAGCTGGACTCGGAGGAGGAGCGGCTGTCGCGGAGCCGCCAGATCTATGACACCTACATCATGAAGGAGCTGCTCTCCTGTTCCCACGTGGGTATCCTGCCCTTTTCCCCCTGCCTGGCAGCATTTCCCTCTGAAATCTAGGATTTTTTAATTTTTTTTTTTTTTTTTTTTGAGGTGTAAACGTTGGTGCCGTGCTGCAATTTTTATTAAACGTAGCGGCACTCAAAGGAAGTATCAGGAGGTTTATCTGGTCTGTGTTTCTTTAGACTAAATGTTTGTTTTTAAAAGGATGAAATAAATGTGTGTGTGTATAGAGATGTGGCTAAAGTCACTGAAAATTTCCTCCAGCTGAAGTTTGGGCCCGTTGATCTGTTAAGAGTTTCATGTGCTCTCATTTGAAAGAGGGATTTGCAGGGTGTTGTACCCTGGGTGGAGGGTTTAAGCTTTTATTTTTTTCTTTTTCCCCACAAAATGCAGTATTTTATTAGTAGAAAGTCCATGTCTGTTTCTGGCTCTGGATTTGTGCCCTGTAAATGGGATTTTTCATGGATTTGTTAAAGAAGGATCATCACCCCCTTTGATTTTTACCTTCCTCCTCCTCAGCTTCCCTCTCCTGCCTTTCTGCTTTGGAATAATCCTGTTACTGGATCATTCTGCACGTTTCACACAATACTCACTCTCATATACCTGTGGGAGGCCCTATTGATTCCCCTTGGGGTTGGTGTTTCCATGTGGGGGAAAGAACAACAGTGCTGTGACCTGAAATGAAACTCCTGACAGTTTCAACTGTTTAAAATCTTCCTTTTTCTTTTCCAAAAGCCTTTCTCAAAACAAGCTGTAGATCATGTACAAACACATTTAGCCAAGAAACAAGTGCCAGCCAGCCTTTTCCAGGTGAGCTTTCACAGTCTGAACATTCAGCTCCTCTGACAGAAAGTGACTTTTTAGATACTGTTTAAAGAGACAGAATAAATGGGACTGGTGCATATTCTGTACTGTAAGTGGGATTGAAATGCTTTTTCAAGTCAAAATTACAATTTACTCTTCTTATCTATAATATTTTCAAGCACCTTTAGGAAAGCAAACTATACCTTGGTGTGTGAACAGAAGAATTTTTATAGTTGTGTAATTTTAAGCCATTAAATGATTTAGAGTAAATCACTTTCCATCAGGAAGATGCTCATCCTGTCAGGTTGAACTGAGCTGCAACAGTGGAGAAATTGTCTTATCCATCGTGGGGGTGTTTGTAAGCTTAAGTGACTTTTATCTAAATCTGATGTATTTTTATATGCTGAAAAAACGTGGAGGTTGCCCTTGCCTGGTGTCTCTTGTGCTCCTGAGCTGCTCTGGCTGTTGCCATGAGCTGGAAAATGGTGATTGCAGTGCTGGGTGATGTCTCAGCACTAACTGGGGGGAGGTCGGGCCATCACACACCCAGGGGAGGGATTTCCTGGAAAAAGTCACCTGTGATTTCAAGGTGCTGATCTCTCAGTAAGGACAGAGAGGAGAGAAGCACCACAAAGATGAGGGAGCAGCTCTGGGAAGTTTGGATTCCACAAGGGTGACAATTTATTGTTTAAATACATTTGAAGGAAGAGCCTTTTTGCCCCCACACCCCTTAAGGTTTTTCTAGCTCATGAAAATATTTTGTGTTTGAATTCAGGGCACCTGCTTAGATTCCAGAAGCCAAATAAAGCTAAAATGCTTCATTGAGGCTTCTTAAGGACAACCCAGGAGCTGTGTGGGGCCAATGAGAGTTCTGTGTAATGGATGGGATTGAAAAAAAGCCAGTTATTGTCTGCTTAAATATTAATTGTGTTTCCTCACCCTTTTTAGCCATATATAGAAGAAATTTGTGATAGTCTCCGAGGAAAAATATTTCAAAAATTTATGGAAAGGTATGAACATGGAATATTACCTGAATTATCTTCCTAATGTAGTGGGAAGCCAAGTCCTTTCAGTACTGCTGTAAATAAGGCTAAAGATGTGTATTAATGCTCAGTTAATCAAATGGAATTTATCAGGAAACTTTGTAAATGCCCAGCTGTGTGGGATACCCTGATCAGTGTCAGGATGTGTGAGTAGAAGAGCTGGAAAGCTGAGGGATTTCTCAGTCACAGCAGGGAGAGGTTGGAGTTTGGGCTGTGAAAAGGCACAAGTGGGGTTTTGGGGATGTTCTGTGGGTGCCCATCTCTGGTGTGGGACTGGGAGACCCAGTCCTGGTGGTTTGGGGCTGGGCCCCTCAAAATGAAGGTGTAATAAAGAATTGAAGGCACAAGTCTGGCTCAGCAGAGCAGCCCTTTCCTGCTCCTGTGTCTGGCTCTGGAAGGCTCACCCAGGAACACCCAAATCCATTTTCTAAACTGGTTTGGTGCCATTCTGTGGTAATTATAAAAATGCCTCCATAAAGCTATTATTTCTTACTTTGAAAATAAATACTTAATTATTCATGTAGGAATAAGCAACTATTTTATTATTTTTTCCCAAAGCCTGTGGTATTGCTGATGTCTTCCCTATTTTAAGATAAAATGAGTTTAAAATGTTCCTTGGAGTATATGGAGGTTCATTAACATAGATCAAGCTGCCTGTGTTTTCTTATAATTATCTTTCTCTTGATGTAATTTAAATGTTTGTTAGTTCCAAACGTGGCTGTTTAAAAATTGAAAACCAGATTTGAATGGTTGAAAACCGTGCAGGAGAGATGTGGGGACACACTGAGCACTTCCAGGGATAAGGTTATCTGCTCTCTTTCTCTCCCAAGGATGTAGAACGTGGAGTGTGCTCTGCCTGGGAATTGTTTTTCTTGGTGGGGGTAAGATTACAGTTGGTGAAAGGAAGGCTGTCATTTATTAAATACCACCCCACGCCCTAGCTCAGACTAGATTTTAAATATCAGAGTCTTGACATTTCCTGTAATACTCTACACAATAGTCTCAGACAACTTTTAAACTTTTTTTTTTTTCTTTTGCAGTGACAAGTTTACTAGATTTTGTCAATGGAAAAATGTAGAGCTAAATATTCATGTAAGTACTTACAAGTATATTTATCTTGTCAGAGGCTGATACAGGAAAGAGAATGTTCAGTTTTGAATGCTGCTCTGCAAAGGCCTCATTAAGGAGGGTGGTGGATGTCATTGCTCTGCTATTCTTAGGCACAGCCCTGATGATTCCTGTCTGGACGTCCCCTCTGCCTTCCTCAGTTAATAGAATTTTGATTTTTTTAATGGCTGAAGAGCTGAACTGTTTATCAGCCCCAATCCCTGTCCATCTCCCTTTCCCCTTCCAGTCCTGCTGTGATCCCAGCACCCTCTGAGCCCCTTCCCTTGGCCTCTGCTTTTGTCCCTCTGCACTTCTCTGTGACAACTTGGGCTGTAAAAATAGCCCTGAATGAGACTGGCAGTTTTTGGGAGCAACAGCCTCATTCCCCTTGTTGCTACTTCTCACTCTAGTGCTTCCAAGTACATGGAAATATCAACAATAAGGGGCTCCTTTTCCAACACAATAAATGCTGTTGAGTTACAGTTGAGGATCTCACCACATTCATGGATCATTTAGATGTTTTCACAGTAAGTTTTTTTAATGCTGGAAAAATGAAGGTTTTGTTTTGTTGTTTCTGTTTCCATTTGCAGCTGACCATGAATGATTTTAGTGTACATAGAATAATAGGAAGAGGGGGATTTGGTGAAGTGTATGGCTGCAGAAAAGCAGACACTGGAAAAATGTGAGTATCACACACTCTATGGCAGAGGTGATTGTAAACTCTGCACTAGTGAGGAAATCCTTCCAATCATTTCTTAGGAAATCAGTGGAAAGCAGCATCATGTTGCTGTGAAGTTCTTTGTAATGCAGATTTATCCCCAGAGGTTCTGATTCCTGGCTCACTGCAGGCTCAGTTTGCTCCTGGATCCTGTTCATGCCATGCAGGGGCTCACAAAGCTCCTGGGCACATGGAAACGTCCTGTCAAAACCAGTGGAAAATGCACATGTGTTAAAATCAGGTGTGTGCTCCAAAATTCCCAGGATCAGAGGCTGCCAGGGCAGAGGGATGTCCCTGTGGAACCCATGGTGGCTGCTCAGGTGTCACCTGCTCCAGGTGGAGCTGGAGGTGCTGCAGGAGCCTGTCCCAGTGCTGGGCAGTCAGGGGTGTGCCAGAGCTCATTCCCAGCGTGCTGTTCCCAGTCTGGGGAGTTGCATCAGTGCCTGCTCCATGTGTGGTGAAAGCAGTGATCCCTGCTGCCATTTGGAAGGGGATATCCCACTTGTGCTTCTCTGTGGGAGCTCCAGGGTCAGCCCTGGGTGGTTTTTTATTCTTTTTGTGATCTTTGCATTCACACACTTCCCCTGATCATCAGATCTCCATTTCTAGGCATCATTGTCCCATTGTGTTCTGATCTGAACACCTGGGCATGGATTTAACCTGTTGTTCTCAATATCAATCCATTTCTTTATTTACACCCCACCCTTTCATCTTGCTTTTTCTCTTAACAATTTTAGTCCACAGCCCATCCTTAAACATTTCCCTCCCAAGTGAGCAGGGCGTGTGAGAGGTGCCCTCTGTCTGGTTCCTGCTGGCTCCTCTGGCACTTGTGTGTGCCTGACATCCTTGATAATAATAAACTTCTGACTCCTAACAAGTGGAAGTCATCTTAATGATGCTATTATTATATTCAGTATTTCTGCAGTGACTTCAAGTATTTATATTAATGCTCTTACTAACAACACTGGCTTTATTCTAGCTTTGGTACTTTTTGTCCATGTACAATTCATTCATTTGTCCATGTACAAAAATAAACATTTTATTTAGCTTGAGGCACGCTCAGCAGGCAGTTCTCACAGTCCCAGCCACCTCCCATGTCTGAGTAGAGCTCTGGCAGGAGGTGGATAAACCCTTGGGAAGTGAGAAGGACAGGAAAAAGTGAAGCAAAGGACAGGTTTTATCAGACACAAATAGAGCAAAGGGAAGCAAAATGTGGGAAAACCAACCTTCTTTTTCAAATTCGAAACAAAACTTCAGATGAGGCTCAGCTTCTGGGTAGAGGTTTGGTTTAGTTCTTTCTTGATCCAAACCTGTGTGCCCATCCCTAACCCAGATCCCATCCCCTCCAGATGGCTGCCTCTGCTGCACTTAGAGCCTGCAAGGAGCGTGGGAAGCCTCCCCTGCCTCCCAGGTAACACCAGCAGTGTTCACTGAGCACTCACACACCTGGGGCTTCTTCAACCACCCCCCCTGCAAGCACCTCTAGAGAGGGGCCAGAAACTGGGTGCAGCATTGCAGGGAGAGAGAGAGGGACAGCAGGACAGTGACAGTCTTGATTGGGGACAGGTTCCCAGAGAAGCTGTGGCTGCCCCTGGATCCCTGGAAGTGTCCAAGGCCAGGTTGGATGGGGCTTGGAGCAACCTGGGATAGTGGATGGTGTCCCTGAATTTAAGGTCCCTTCCCACCCAAACCATTCTTTTTGTGATTTCCATCAGCCTTGAACATCCCCAGTGCCACTCTGCAGTCAGGGCAGGTCAGGGGTTATTTTTACTCACCCTTCACAGACTCCTCAGCAGGAGCACATGAATTTATTCCCAGTCTGGAAAGTTAAAATTCACCCTCACTCCCCCGCTCCTAGCACATTGATGTCAGGAATGACGTGGCTGTTTTTGGGAGCTGGAGCCAAGGTGAGGCCCCGGGGCTGGATGGGGATGGGCATTGAAGCACTGCTGTAATGTGGTGATTTCCTAAAAATCCATGGGTGCCCATGTCTAGGAGTGTTCTGTGGAGGAACACACGTGTCCTTCTCACTGATGTCTATTAATGAACTCACCCAACATCTTGGAAAAATACCCGGCCTGTATCATATCCTCCTGTGGTTGATGGTTGTTAGGGTAACATCCTTTGTGAGAAAAATTTTATTAATTTGTGTAGCACAGATGGTAGAAGACTAAAAAAGCTTTCTTGTGTGTATCTGACTTTTTTTTGAGTAGAAAGAAAATTAAGGAAAAAAAAAATACACGTAAAACTCAGTGTGTGTTCAAGATATTACTTTTCCTGGTAGAGCTGAAACTGTTGGAATTAAATGGAACCATGGCAGAATTTGTTATTTAATTCCTGTGGCAGATCCTTGCTTGTAGGTATGAGAAAATGAATATATGTTGTGTAATTCCTATTTCACTGTGATGGTTTGGACATGGAATTATTTGTTAAAGCACATTTCTCTGTCAGGAGGCTTCTGCTGGAAATGTGTTAATTCTGGGAGATTTTGGAGGTTCTATGTTTAGGCTGAAATGATGTTTTTAGTCCTGGGTTTAAGTCTTTCAAGAGCTTGCTTACAGCATCCTGTAAATGTGCATGACCTGACTGCCAGTGACTAGTCTTCACAGAGGAGATTTTTGGGGCTTTTTCTGAATGGTTGTTTTGGTTTTTTTTTTCAGGTATGCAATGAAATGTTTAGATAAGAAGAGAATCAAGATGAAGCAAGGAGAAACATTAGCCTTAAATGAAAGAATTATGCTGTCTCTTGTCAGTACAGGAGTAAGTATCACTATGTGATTCTTTCTTTCTTCCATATAATGTAAAAGCTGTTACATGTAATGCATATTCCATCAATTCCCTTGTGAGATATGCAAAAATTAACCCCCACTGGAGCCTCCTCCCCCTGATTCTTGCAATGTGTCTGAAATGAGAAGGGAAAAACCAAACTTGCTTGATCAGTTTGGGTCCTACAGAATGAGCATCTTTACTGCAGAGGCTTGTGGGGGTGCCCATTTCTGAGGTAATTCATCCTCCCACCCTCCTGACTTTTTAAATATCCTTTTAAAAGTATTTTGTTTGAAACTTTTCCAAAAGACGATTCTGTCTTGTAAAAAAGATTCCTTTTTTTTTGCTGTGGTTAGATAGTACTTTTGTGGAATCTAAAGTGCTCCTGCAGACAAAACTCCAGTTCATCTTCCCTTTCCTGTTACTCTGATATCCAATTTTTCCCTTTTTTGTTTTTGATGTACTTCAGCTGAGTCAAGGTGTACCAAGCCAGTCTGCCCATCTATTCTATTTATAAATTGGACTAAAATTAGATTAATCAAAATGTAAAGCTGAAACCATCACTGAGGTACAAAAAGCCAGCCCCTGCCTGGTGTTGGCTCCCCAGCTCTGGGGCCACTGAGTGCTGGCTGAGGCGTGTTGGGCTCAGAGAAATTCCAGGCAGGATTGGAGGTGGCTGTGCCCTCCTTGCAGTGACACCGTGGTTGCCATGGCTACAGGTGATGCTGCCAGGAAGGTTCACTTCCCTCACCTTGTGGTGCATGAATTTAAACCCTGGGTGTGGGAACACAGGAGCACAGCCCTCGTTCCCAGCAGGCACGGGAGGGATGAGCAGGGATCATGTGTGGTTTTGTTCCAGGCTGTGCAAAGAGCAGGATTGCCTGCAGTGACACGGAGCAAACAGTGAGCTTTGTCCTGAGACACCAGAGCTGTGTCCCCAGAGATCAGAGGATCTTTTCTGTGGGACAGACCTTGAAGATCCTCGGGTCCAGGCATTATCCCAGCACTAAGCCAAGGCTCCAGGGAGAGCTTAGAGCCCCTTCCAGTGCCTAAAGGGGCTCCAGGAGAGCTGGAGAGGGATTTGGGACAAGGGGGATTGGATTCCCAGTGCCAGAGGGCAAGGTTAGATGGGATATTAGGAAGAAATTCTTCCCTGTGAAGATGGGGGGACCCTGGCACAGGGCTGCCCCATCTCTGGAAGTGTCCAAGGCCAGGCTGGACAGGGCTTGGAACAATCTGGGACAATGGAAGGTGTCTCTGCCTGTGGCAAGGCATGGAACTGGATGAACGTGAAGATCCCTTCCAAGACAAACCATTCTGGGATCTCTGATTTATCCCTTCAGACTTTTTAATCAAGTTGCCTGTTTTCACCAGAAAGAAGTTGTGGTTTGTCCATGTGTGTCAGGATTCCTGAAAACCAGTGGGGAGTAGGTCTGTAGTAGAGAATAGACAAGAAATCGAGGGAAATGAGTAATAATTTTCCCATTAACTTTAATTTGTGATTCTGTGGCTCCAGCACTGAATGTGGATTTGCATGTCTAGAGATTCAAAGAGAAAATAGTTCAGGAGCTGCTGGTGGAGGCAGTATTCTCACAGGCCAGCACACAGTGAGGCTTTGAGCAGGGGGAGCAGCAGGAGGAACCATTTGTTTCTTTTGTTAAGGATTTATCAGCTCATTAGAGTGACATTTCTTTCAGATTCTCAGAAATCTGAAGAACTTTGAAGAGAGGTTTTGTACAAAGTGCTGCTCATTCAGGTCAGGTACACCTGGGCAGGAGAGGCTGGAGCACTTGGAATATGCAGAATGAGACAGGTTTTGAAGGTGGTGGAATAAGAGAATTCCTTCCATCCCTGAATAGGAGCTGGGAGGCTGCAGTGGCACATGCTGTGCCCAGGGACAGCTCTGTGCTGCCCAGAGCAAAATGGAACTGGGAAGTCCATCACAGTGCAATTAGTCATTTAATTGGGAATCCAGATGACACAGCAAAATGCATAATAACATCTGTTAATCCACCTCGAGCTCTGGCATTCCCCAGCACTCCTGGAGCAGGCAGCTCCCATGCTGGAGTCGGTGCTGGCTGCGTGGTGGGAGCAGCTTTCCACATTTTCAGTGGGTTCAGGAGTACAGCAGGCACCTGTGCAGAGCATCTGGAGCCTCTTGGATGGGCCTGGTGGCACCAAAGTGGGCTCTGCAGGGCTCGGTCTCCGTTGGTGTCTTTGCTGTGTCACTGTGGTGTAACGGGGACAAACTGTCACTGAGCTTTGGGTTTCCTCTTCTGCAAGACACAGGCCCCATCTTCCCCTCCCACAGAGACCTTCAGGCTGGAAAGGCATTGTGAAATCCTTGGAAGGTCACAGAGTAGGGAAAATATTTTACTTTCTGTGAAAAGAAAAAGTATATTTCATTTCTGTAGTAAGCCAGTATTTGCCTGATTTCTGTTCATAAACTGGAACATGGAAATCACCAAGGCACTGATGGACCCTGTGAAAGCAGCCAGTCCCAAGGTGCTTGTGGAAGGAAGTGGTTATTCCATGAATCTTTTCCTGAGGGTAGGAGGGGATCATTCCATCTCTCTGTTGCAAGACCAGGGGCTGTGCAGGGCTGTGCCTCCTCTCTGTTGTGGCTCCCAGTTTTTTCTTTGTAAAAAAAAAAACAACTCAGCAGTTCATCTGCCTTACCCAGCTCTTCTTGAGATAATTTTACTGATGGCTGGGTTCAAGATTTCCTCCAAGGGATGATAAATATAATCCCAGAATATCCCCAGTTGGAGGGCCCTGCTCAGGACACTCCAGGAGTCCCCACCCACCATAAGGAGATCAATAATCTGGTTTTTTGGAGCAGAGCAGGTACTTGGTTGGTTTTCACGTGTTTCAGTCAGTGACTGACACATCTTTGAGTGACATATCAGGACAGAGCTGCCCTCCAGTTAAGATGGGACACAGCTGCTCTGTGCTCTGAACACCTTTGTCCCCTGTTTGCTGTCACTTTGTGCCCCAAAGCTGAGTGCTTGGCTTTCAGTGAAGAGTCAGAAGCAAAGATTTCCTCACAGAGCACTTTTTCATGTGCCAATGTCTTTAAAATATCACATTTCTACTTTTTTTTCTTAATGGTTGCTCTAATATTTTTTTTCCTTCCACATGATTTATTGCCACAACTTTAATTTCAGCAGTTCTCTGGACTCAATCCAGGATTGTTTGGATGTAAGGAACTCCTTCCAAACTGGTCTTAATTCACACATTAATGTCATAATGTTGCTTATTTTCATCAGAGCAGAAACTTGACTGCAATGAAGAATTGCTCTCCTGGGAAATTGGTTTTATTACTTTATGTGTCCTTTAAAAAATAACCATAGGGTGTTTTTTATTTTTATTTTTTATGCTGTAGAATACTCTTTTGCCGTGTTTTTTTTGTGTCAGGAAAATACTGCAGTACAGTTTTTCTCTCTGTTAAGCAGGGAGGGAGTAGTGATGAAATTAGGAATGCTTGCACAAAAATGAGTTATGCATCACATTAACACTTCCAGATAACTTTTATTTTTAAAATCCATAAAAATATAAGCAAGCTATGTTCTGGCATAGAGAAACCTTTTTATTTGTCTATGTGTGGTGTTTAAATTCTACCACTAAATCCTTCTGGGTAATTAGATTGCTCTGAAATTTTAGGAGCCCTGCTTGGGGACACTTCTGAATTACCCAGTCGATGCAGGAAATTAAGTTAATAATTCTGCTAAAGCTTCTGTTGTGAAGTTAAGTGGCAGCTACAATAGTCCCCAACACAGAGTTCATAACCAGAGGTGGTATCTTGTGTTAGACACCACATCAGGCTCCTTATTTTTAGGGCTATTTAGAAATTTGAGGTTTTTTTCCTGGATGCTGTTCAGATGTTTCACACCCATCCCTCCCCTCTGCAGGGAGCATTTGGGGTGAGCTAAACATAAAAGTGCAGTTGGGTCGGAGCAGGGTGTCCCCAGGCACTGTGGGGATCCCTGGGGTTGCAGCCAGCTCTAGAAACATTTTTCTATTTCACCCTCATGGAAGGATGGAGGGGCTCTGAAGTGTCCCTGTCCCTCCCTTTCCTCTCTCCCCCGCTGCCCAAGGCCACCGTGTTTTGCTGTTTCTAATTTGGGACGGGAGCAAGTTCCTGTCAGAGATTCCCAGAGCTTTCCCTTGTCCATCCTGCAGAGCCAGGCACGTCCTTGGAGTCACGTGTGGCCACTCTCTGCTTCCTGCACGGTGTCCTGGGCTCCTCTGGGATCAGGTGTGGGATGGGGCAGCCCAGCCATTCCCAAAGGGATCCCTGCACACTCAGCAAACAGCTCTGCTTTTGTACCACAGCCTCCCATCAAGGTGTCCCTGCCCGTGGCAGGGGCTTGGGATGAGATGAGCTTTAAGGTCCCTCCCAACCCAAAGCATTCCATGATTCCATCCCATACAGCTTTGGAGAAGAAGGTGATGAGGTGACAGCCACCCCCCCCAAGAGCCTCCTGGCTTGTATGAGCACGAGTGTGGCCAGCAGGACCAAAGCAGGTCCATTCTTCATGGAAGGGATTCTCCAGGCCTGGCACAGCTGCCCAGGGCAGTGGTGGAGTCACATCCCAGGAAGGATTTAACACATGTGTGGATGTGGCTCTTGGGGACTTGGGTTAGTGGTGGCCTCAGCAATCTCAAAGGGCTTCTCCAGCCTCAGCAATTCCATAATTATGAATTTTATGCTGCATCCAGCACAGGCCCAGTGCAGAGGAAGGTCTGCCAGCTGCTGCCATGGGATTTTGAGTGTGTGTCATGAGCAGACCTTGGGAGCAAAGATGTGTTTTTCCAGTGGAATTTTTTATGGCTGCTTGTCCTAAACATGAGGTTCAGGTGCATCAGGAGATGGGGTGTAACCCATCACTGCCCTGGCTGCTCTGCTCTGACCTCCTAAACCTCCCAAATGATCTTGACATTGCTGTAGCTGCTTCCTGAACATCCAGAATCCCAGCTCCTGCCTGGTGTGTTCACATTCCTTCAATCCTCTGTTGGAAATGCTGCTGGGGGTGCCAAACCCCTTCACTGTCACCTGGGCAGGGCCCTTACAGGGGGACAGTGGTTACCAGTGTAGCTGCATTTCAGGAGTGAGAGCTTGGGAATACTGGCAAATAGCACAGGAAAAATACCAGATCAGATATTTTTAGCTTTCCTAAGTCACGCTTTGCTTTTTGCCCAAGGTGAACCTCTGCTCTTCCCTTGCAGGACTGTCCTTTTATAGTCTGTATGACCTATGCCTTCCACACCCCTGACAAGCTCTGCTTCATTCTGGACCTCATGAATGGTAAGCAAGACTTGTTCAGATGATGGTGATGTTACAGGAATTTTGGCAGGAGGATTGCTGAGATGGTTGGTCCCTCAAGCCTGGGCTGCTCCATGAGCTGATTTATTCAGCTCTCTCCACAAACCAGTGTGTGGTTCAGCCTTTGCTTGTGTGGAAATCCTCTGCTGGATTAGTCACTGAATGCAAATGTTTATGAAATAAATGCATTTTAAAATGGAGTTTCAGACTGATCAAATCTCTGTATGGACTTTCTGAGCTATTTTGTCACCACACTGACTTGCAGAGGGTGAGGCTGTGTGCTCCACAGGTGATAAGAACCTACAAAAGCTCTGCTGTTCCCCCACAGTGTTACCCTGTCTGCCTGCAGGGTAAGATTTTGCTTAATTGCATCTCAATTCTCATTTCAGGAGGAGATTTGCACTACCACCTCTCCCAGCACGGAGTGTTTTCTGAAAAAGAAATGAGATTTTATGCTACTGAAATCATCCTGGGGTTAGAGCACATGCACAATCGCTTCGTGGTGTACAGAGACCTGAAGGTAATGGTTGGTGGGTGCCTGCATCCACACAGACCCTCAGATAACTTCCATGGATTTCCTTTCCTGAAACCTTTCCTTGGCAGGATTATTTCTTTATCTGCCTGATTTTTGTACTGAGTTTTCAAAGTCGTTCTAATCTGTGCCATTATCCAGTTTAGCCAGCCTGGGAGAGGCTTCCTGGGGGTCACAGTAAATCCTCTGAAGTGTTGCTTATCTCCCTGCTGGGAGTAATTTAGAAGATATTCTGTATTTCTGGGAGCCCTGGAAGAGGCCTCTGTGTGTGTGATGGGGAACAACAGCACAAGAAATGCTGAGGGGTTTCACTGGCAGTTGGGAAATCAAGGACAGCTCCCAGAGAAGAGTCCCTGGACCAAGTGACAGCACAAGGGGATGAAAGTCTGCCCAGAGACTGAGAATAAAAGGTGTAAGAGCCACACTCAGACCCTGCTGTGAAGAAACCAAAAGCAGCTTGAGGCCAGAATGGATTATTCATTTATTACCTGCTTTGTGTTTCAAACCTTGCCTTGCCTGTCTGTTATTCAGCATTTCATAACCTGTGGAGTTGATGGTAGTGCTCTCTGAGAGCGTAGATTTTTATCTGGAAAGTGCCTGGTATATTGATGTTAAATAAAAGAAGGCAATTACCAATTACCAGGCAGTATTGATGTTTGAGTTACTGTGCTGTGAGAGTTTGCAGAAGTCAGCTGGGGAATACCAAGAACTCACCTCCCTGTGTTGGTTTCCAGCCTGCAAATATCCTGCTGGATGAACATGGGCATGTGAGGATATCAGACCTTGGGCTGGCTTGTGACTTTTCCAAAAAGAAGCCACATGCCAGTGTGTAAGTATTATGTCTGGGAGCTTTGCTGCACATACAGGTAGTGCTAAATACATCCCGAGTTTGTCTTTCTAACTTAACTTTGCCTGAAGGGGAGGAATGACACTTGTGTGGCCCAGGCTTGCTGAGCTGGAGGCTCTAATGAGGTCTTTGGGCTCCTCTCCCTGTTTTCCTGCTCAGTTGTAGCAGCTGATGTGTAGGCATGGCTGGAAGATGACACATTATTTCAGGATGATTCACTGCTCAGAGAAGAACCTGACTGAGTTAAAGTACCAGATTGCTTTAATTGTCCCAACCTGGTAATTAAATATTCCCAAACTGACTAAAATCCTGGATTTATTGTGTCTTTCTCTTTCTGGATCTTCATGGAACTGGAGGCAAATTATCTTCTTTCTGCCTCTTGCCATCAGGATTTAACTAGGATCTGAATTCCAGGAATTGTGTGTGGATTCCCATCTTACCTGGCACGTTTTATTCTTAGGTCCTCAATTGCCCTGATTTAGTCTTGGAATTTATGCAAAAAAGGGAAACTCCAGCCTGTCACACCTTAAGAGATTTGCAATTCAGTAGCTTGTTGAAAAAAGTCCATATGTTTTGAGTATGTCAAAGGTAAAAGCAATACCTGGTGGCTGCTTCTAATGGTGCCCAGGGGTGAGTTCAGGAGTGTCCTGTGCTCACACAGGTAACACATGAAATCCATTGGAGGCAAAATAAAATAGTTAAAATTAAGTCTTTCCAAACTGGGCTGTCTCACCGAGGGAATATTGATTTTTAATGATGTTTTTTTCCCAGTGATGATGTTGGATGTAATGAATGTTTTGTGCTGTTGTGCTCTGCAGAGGAACCCACGGGTACATGGCCCCCGAGGTGCTGCAGAAGGGCACAGCCTACGACAGCAGTGCTGACTGGTTCTCCCTGGGCTGCATGCTCTTCAAGCTGCTGAGGGGGTGAGTGGGGCTCCTGCCTTGCCTTTGGGAGCCTGGAGGCCTCTGTGGGTGTCCCTCGGAATAGCAGGACATTGTGTGCCACAGATTGAAGTGATCCCTCAGTGCTGACCCGTGTCCCCAAGCGAGACAAACCCAGGTTTTTTCTTCCAAACCAAACCAGAGCCAAGCCCTGTGTGCTGTAGTAGCTGCAGGTGTGGGACATGAGGAAGGCAGGTCCTCTCTGTGCTCTTTGAACTGCTGCTCACAGCAGTTTGCTCCTCTCTTGGCAGCTGGTAGTGTTTTCAATGCTGTGATGTTGCTCCTTGGAGTGCTTTAAGCAGCTTTGTTAAATCGTGGGCTTCGTGTTAGGCTGAGACCTGGTGGTGTGGAGAAGCTCTTGGCTGCACTGGTCCCTTTTTGTGTACTCAGCCTTCATTCCTGCAGGGTTTGGGCCAGGTACCAAGTGTGGATCCTTCCATTTGCTGAATCTGGCCTGTTACCTAATCAGTGTCCAAAGGTACACCATAATTACAGCTCTGTCAGCAATTACCTGCTCATTAAACTTCCGTGTCTAGAATTGATTAATGCCATGGGATTTATCTGAGCAGTCAACAAGCACTGATGGGCAAGTCCTTGTTGAAAATGGCATCCTCACTGTTAATGGCAAAGCAGAAGAAATCTGAGGCTTTTCACAGTGCTTCTCTGTAAAGATTGATCATTAGGTCATCCTGTGTCCTCACACATAATTAATTATGAGCTTTTATCTCCATCCAGACACTGTACAAAGGAAGGTCAGTGTGTGACTTGTGAATTGAACTCTAGAGCTGTATCAATTTAACATTAATTGTGCACAAAGCAGACTATGTAAGGGTGCAAATAAAGAAAGAAATGATGTTTAAATTGCCAGTCTTTGGGCTGTGATTCTCCCTGGCAGAGATGTTCAGGGTGGTATCAGTGCTCAGCCAGAAATCAGAGCATTATTCACGGTGAACTCTCGTTCCTCATCTGTTCTGAAGCCAATTAAACACATCCCAAAACAAGGGCTGGGCACATGGTGCCATTTCTTGGTATTTGGTAAATTTAGTCTGGCACAGAATCTGCCCATAAGTCGCCAGTGAATCATTTTCTTCCCTGATCTACTCAGAGCCTCCTTGTCAGAGTACATGAGGCTGTGTGGGAACCATTTACCTGTCATGCTAAAAAGAGAAAAAATGAAGTCCTGGTCCATCCATTGCATCCATCAATCAGAACATTTTTGAGAATAAATGGAAAATAACTTGGGAGTAGCAGGTCTCCGGTTGAAGCATGCTGGTACACTCTGCCATGTGGTAAGCCAGAATGCTTTAGAGTAGCTAATTAATGGAATTGATAAGTGAATCACATTTTGGTTGTGAAAAACATCATCCCCTCAAGGTTTTAAAGAAAAGAAGCAGGGAATGTATCCTAAATGTAATCAAAATATCTCTTACTACAATGCTGCTTCTTTCTCTCATGAAGGACTGTGTATTAAATCTCTTAATGTGCCACAATCTTCCGTAGCTTAGAGGAAAATTCAAATTCAAACCAGAATTATAAAGCAGGAAAGGGATGAAGCTGATAATTTACAAGATATCATCAGATATCTTCCCAGTGGCTGATGCTGTGGGATCTGTGATCTCTTATCTCCTTACTCTCCATGATGGGATGTGGTGAGTTCAGTGGGTCATGCTCACCTTCCCTATAGAAATCCTTGGATTTAAATCCCTGTGGGTGAAGGCTGCTTAGGGTTTCCTTGATAGCTGAAAACTGTTCGGGTTTTTGGGAGATATATGTAATTGATGAGGCATTTAAAGCACATCTTTTAAGGCCAGATCACTGTTTAAGAATTACCCAACTTTCTGCTCACCTTGCTGTGGATCAGATTGCTCTGCAGGACAGGATTGATGAGGGCAAAGGATGGGACTAACAGGATGCTCCACTCTTTCCTGGCATTGCCACAGCTGAAATACCCTGATACGCTGTGGCTTTACATTTATTAACATTCCTTTTTTTTTTTTTTTTTTTTTTCTTTGCACAGGCACAGCCCTTTCAGGCAGCACAAAACCAAAGATAAGCACGAGATCGACCGGATGACGCTCACCGTGGTAAGACCTGGTCCCAGTGACATCCCCGTGCTCCCTGAGCTCCCATGTCCCCTAAAACTGCAGCTGCACCCCCTGCTCTCCCAGAGAGCTGCGTTTGCACATGGGAGAGCTGCTCCCAAACGCCAGCAGAGACAAGAGAGCAGAGCACAGCACTTCCATGATGGAATATCTCTTTGTGTTTCCTCTCTCCGCAGAACGTGGAGCTCCCGGATTCCTTTTCTCCCGAGCTCAAGTCCCTTCTGGAAGGGCTCCTGCAGCGGGATGTGAGCAAGAGGCTTGGGTGCCAAGGAAGAAGGTAGGTGTTGTCTTCTCCTTGGACCTCTGCCTTGAAAAATTTCCACTTCTCTGTCAATGAGTGAATTCATTTCAAGTAAAAATCTGCTTCCTGTTGTGAGGATTTTAATTTTGGAAAGAGAACATTAAAAAGTGCTGCTGCATGGAATTACATTTCAGCTTCCATCAGTTTGGACATGTTTTTTTGGACAGTTTCTGTCCTTAAAGCCTTTCCCTGAGTTCCCTGCAGTCATGCTTGCATTGGGTGGTGTTCCTGCTTCTCATCCCTTGGTTGTTTTTCTGGTTTTGCCTGATCTGTTTTGGCATGAAATCATATGACTTGACTCAGACATACTGATAGGGAAAATTAATTGCTTATATTTTATCTGTAATGATAGGAGCATATTACAAACAAAAAAACCCCCAATCCCAAAACCACCAAACAAAAAGCTGTGAGTATTGCTGGTGCTCCCCGTGTCACTTGATTATTCTAAGGAAAAGAGCTTTTGTTTCGTTTCTTGACTACAAAACACTCCTTGCTTCTGCCAAGCTCACCTTGCTTGTAGCTGTTTGTGAAATTGTTGTCTCCTGCTTAAAAAGCCTGTGTGAGACTGAGAGTGAAAAGGAGAGGAGTAAACAACTGTTGAGAAACCATTGGGATGTGTGATAACAGGTAGCTGATGGTCACACCTGAGCCTGGGGCTGGCTCCAGTTCCAGTGGGAGATTCAGAGGAATCTCCAAGTTTTTGTCTCGGAGCCCTCTTTGATGATGACCTGAGATTGCTTTTCCTTGGGGCATAACAAGAGCAGTTGATTATTTTCCCATAAAATTTGTATAATTTGAAATGGTGTGGAGTAATCTGGTTATTTACAAGCAGTGATTGGTGAGTCTGCCAAAGGATTGGTGTTTGGGATCTGACCCAGATCGGTGTTGGGATCGTGACAGCACAGGAACATTTTTTGCTGTTGGAAATGATGGAGTGCCATCAGGAGTTCTTGCCTGCCAGCCCTAGAGCACTGTTCCAAATGTTTCCACCTGAAAATCTTCTCTCCTGGTGTTTACTGAGGAATTCTTACGTTTTTTATTGCAAAAAAAGAACGTTTCCCCAGTGTTCTCAAGTGATAGAAATGTGACCTTTGAAGGCTTTGTATTCCTTGAATACACTTGAAAAGCCCCTTCATTTGTTGATTTCAGTCACTTCTGTTTTGCAGCGCACAAGAAGTAAAGGAACATCCTTTCTTCAAAGGCATTGATTGGCAGCAAGTCTATTTACAGAAGGTAAACGATGAAGACAGTAATTTTAGCTGACTTGGTAAAGCAGTAAAAAGAAAATAAACCCAAACAGGTACTGAACAGAAAACTTGAGGGTCACAGTGCCCAGCACAAGTGTTCAATCACACAAATACAGGGAGGGTTGTTAATGAATATTCATTACTACAGCTCTTCCTGATTGTTAGGAGTGAGTTATTACATTTCCAGGCTCAAATGACTGCATGGTTTCCTTTCCTTTGCTGTCTCTAAACTGGGGAGTTTTATCCCCATATTTTTGAAAGAGCTCTGATTAAAAGAAGTGCCAACAATTTTGCACTGAAGTTTAATTCCAAGGGAGATGCTCTGGTACAGTCAGGTGTAATCTGTGCAAAAAAATACATAGGTTGTGCATGACTACAGAATGGAGTTAAATAATGCCCATTAATTTGTCTTTAATGATGCTGATTTTAATTTCTAGTACCCTCCCCCCTTGATTCCTCCCCGGGGAGAAGTCAATGCAGCAGATGCTTTTGACATTGGCTCCTTTGATGAAGAGGACACCAAAGGCATTAAGGTACCCAGCTCTCAGTGGTGGAGGGTGACACTGGGACTGCTGTGCTTGGCTTTCCGTGTGTGTCTGGCATTCCTTTGCTTCAGGGCTCTGGATGTGCAAGGAATTCCTTCAGGCTGGGAGAATCAGCCCATGCTGGTACCTTGGGCTGGTTCCCTGTTTGTTGTTGCTTGCCAAGTCCTCATGTTTTTAGTTTAGCTGAAATCTACTTTGTTACCAAAAGTTTTGTGTGAGAAAGGAAATGTTTCAAATGATCAGGAAACAATTGGGAAAGCCTCAGATTTTCAAGGATACCTTATGGTTTGCGTGTTTAAAAGTTGGGATTTATTTCTGGTAGCTTTTTGGGATTTAGTTGAGATTTATTTCTGGAGAAATGGAGCTAAAGGTTATTTTAATAGTTGAGTGGTCAGAGAGAGTGCTGGGGAAAACTCTTAAAAATTAAAAACTGTGTTAATAGTAGCAATTGTAAGTTGGAAAAGTGGTTAAAAAATTGCACGTTCTGATATTATCCAGAATGTAATGAAAATAATATAAACTATATTAAAAAAGAGAGAAGTTAGAGCTGCTGGCCCCTTTGGGACTCAGGTGAAGGGGGTGACCCCCCTGTGAATTCCTCCACTTTCTGAAGTTTCCCTGGGACTTTGGGACAGCAGCCCTTCATTGTTTTCATCACCCATTTCTGCAGTAGAACAGGCCTTGTTCTTGTTCTTAGAGAAGTGAGTCAGGAGGGAAACTAATTATTCTAAACTTTATAAGCAAAAAGCCCCATTAAGTACTCAGTGAGCTTAAAAGGGAGCTCGTCTGTCAGTGTCACCTGCTGTGGTGACAGAAGTTGGCACAGAAAAGTGCAGAGAGCCCAGGATGTTCTTTATCCCAGAAAATTCCACATCTTCAGCATCGATGTTAGCCTGGCAGGATTCCAGCCTGCTGTAATTCTGCAATGCCAGAATTCAGAGGAACATTTTGCAAGGAGCAACCAGGCGATCTTTTCATTTCTTGAGGAGATCAGATATTGTCAATAACATGATTTAGTGAGAAATCCTGTCATGGAGTGTGACTCACCAGCAGGTCAGTGCTGTGTCATCTCCAGTTTGATCTCAGAATCTCATAGCTCAGGCTGCCCATGGGATAAATTTACCCTCGGGGGTGAGTCAGGGAGGGGTAGCACAGCCCTGCTGGGTGTCACAGGCGTCCAGAGGGGACAGGAGGGTTCCTGCCTGAGTCAGCTGCCAGCGAGGTGCCAGGAGCCCTCTCTGCCCTGGGCACCACAGTGTGAACCCTTTGCTCTCCTGCCTGGCCCCTGGGATTGTGATTATCCTGCAGAGTGGCCCCAGGAAGAGCATGTTTGGGGTTACAAGGGAGGAGCCAGCAGGGGATGCCTGTGGCTGTTCCCCCTTTCTCGCAGGGAATCCCTGCAATTCCAGAGAGCTCTTCTGGGTGTGTGTTTTTCCTGCTGGAATATGGCATGGGTCTCTAAAAAGGAGGAGAATGTCTATTCCAGGAGTGTCTGGCCTGACTGCAGTAGGAGAATGAAGCTGCTCCTGCAGCTCCACACAGCTTTAAACCCCTCCAGGGATGGGCACTCCACCACTGCCCTGCTCAGTGCTGGACAAACTCTTTTGGTGAAGGAATTTGTTCCTAATTTTCTTCAGTGCCATTCAGTTTAAGTAGTCAAAGGATTAGTGGAGCAAAGAATCCTTATAATAGTAAAATTGAGATCTGCAGCACATTTAGCTGCTGATAAATTTTGAGGGTTAATAAGAATATAAAGCCAAGCTGTGGAAGCATGGAAGGCATTGCTGTGGAAGAGGTACCTTTTCACTTATTCGTGGAGTTTTTGTGCTGAGGAAGTTTTTGTGCAGCAAAGTTAAGAATGCTGCTGCTTACATTGGAGTAATTATTTCAATGTCTAGAGAGCATTATGGGGCAGTGTTGAGTTGAGGATTTTGGAGCTATCAAACCAAACAAGTCTTGAGCAGGTGGCCTGTTCTCTGCACATAAATTAATATCTTTGCTTAAATGAGTGTCTGTGCTTCTCTTGCTTGCGTCTGTTTGTTCTGTGAAAGTTTGAGTTCAATCCATCTTGTAAAATAATACTATTGCATGGGTAACTATTAACTGGGGGATAAGAATAGTGAAAGTTATTAAAATGTTGGGTTTTTTGTTGTTTTTCTCTTGCAAGTTGCTTGATAGTGACCAGGAGTTATATAAGAACTTCCCTCTGGTAATATCGGAGCGTTGGCAGCAAGAAGTAGCAGAAACTGTTTATGATGCAGTAAATGCAGACACAGATAAAATTGAGGCCAGAAAAAGGGCTAAAAATAAGCAGCTTGGCCACGAGGAAGGTAATCTGTCCTTACACTTCTCTCATCTTTTGCTGCTAGGTAGTAATTCCTGGGTCTGGAGTTCCACAGACTCCCACTGCCGTCATTCCCGGGAATCGTTAGGATTCGTTTAATCGCTGTCATGTTGCTTAAGATGTTTCTTAATGTTTTGAAATGCTGAGTGATGACATCAAGTTTTGGAAAGAGATTCATGGAATCACAGAGTCCTGGAATAGTTGGGGTTGGAAAGGACCTTAAAGCCCATCCAGTTCCACCCCACTGCCATGGGCAGGGACACCTTCCACTAATCCCAGGTTGCTCCAAGCCCTGTCCAGCCTGGCCTTGGACACTTCCAGGGATCCAGGGACAGCCACAGCTTCTCTGGGCACCCTGTGCCAGGGCCTCCCCACCTTCCCACTCTGTGGTTTGATTTCCTGCCCAGGAGATGGGAAGAACCCCAGGAGGTTTTGCACAGCAAACTTGCAGCTTGCACAGGGGTGTTACATCAAACCCCCGAACTTTGGAGAGCAGCATCCAGTGCTTTAAACAACCTCCTCCAGTGAGAAACTTCTTTAAAAGCCAAGTCCTGTCCTTGTTCTCCACTCTGCAGCCACAGCAGCTGTGTAGTTAGGGCAGAAGTGGGGCTGTGTGTGTGATCTGCACCTGCCCAGGGCACGGCGGCTCCAGGGCTCCGTCCCCCGGGCACAGAGCTCGCTCTGAATGCTTTTGGCTGCACCTCCTGTCACTTTGCTAACATCTCCTCTTGGTTTAGATTATGCCCTGGGGAAGGACTGTATCATGCATGGGTACATGCTCAAGCTGGGGAACCCCTTCCTGACTCAGTGGCAGCGGCGTTACTTTTACCTCTTCCCCAACCGGCTGGAGTGGCGAGGAGAAGGAGAGTCCCGGGTGAGTGAGGGGCTTGGGGAGCTCTGCTGGAAGGCAGGTGGAGGTGGGACACACCTGGAGTTCTCCTGGGAAGGAGTTCTCTCTGAGTAAAAGCCCAGTGGATTTGAGTCACTTCTCTCAAGTCTCACTGTACTTAATGGGTAGCTTACACTGCACAGAGGAGACATAAATTTGACTCGAGAAAGCTGTTTGCTCTGTTTTGTCGTGTTTTTAAAGGATTTTGGTAGTTGATGGTGTTGTTTTTCATTTAGGACCTCTGGACTATTTATACAAAAAAACACAAACTGGTAAGGTGACAAATGCTATAGCATTTTATTTCCAAGAAAATGCTATAGTGGCTGTAGTGTAGCCCAGCTGTGCTCACGTGCAGGGCAGATAATTTGGATATTTAAGTTAAGGAAGTGTTTGGAATTTAAGACATTGTGTCCTCTGCAGTCCATAGGGAGAGTTTTCCTGCACACTGCTGTGTATGTTCACTTTGTAAGTATTCAGGGCTGAAATACTCCCTTTGAGCTCTTTGAAATAGTGAAATTGGCTTTTTTTTTTTTTTTTTTTTTTTTGGTAATAACAGTAATGCTTGAAAAATGTATCAAATGATATGCAGCTCTTGAGGGAAAATAGTGGCTATTCTGTTTGCAGACACACCTATTTGTAGATTTTTATTTCGTGCTGTCATTACTGGCTTTTAGAGCTGATATTTCATTGTCACTATTGAAACAACCAAGCCCCTTGTAAATCTCTCTCTTACCTTACTATCTATCTTTAGTTCATGACCCAGCCTTCAGAAATAAATGTTTGTGTAATGACTCTTAATGTTCATCATTTAATTCATGTGGATAGTCCAGGAAAATGAGATAGTGGCTTTATTTGATGGGCAACAGCATTTTTTTTTCAATTAATTCTCTGCTCTTTTGCAAATGCTGCAGCAAAACCTGCTGACAATGGAACAAATAGTATCTGTTGAAGAAACACAAATTAAAGATAAGAAATGCATCTTACTGAGAATTAAAGGAGGAAAACAGTTTGTCCTACAGTGTGAGGTAAGACTTGATTTTTGATAACCTGATCAGATTGTTTTGTGTATGATAAACAATTGACAAGTTTTTCAGGTCGTGCTGTTGCATGTTAATTAAGGCACTTGGTGAAGCAGAGCTGTTGATCACACCCGAGTTTTGAAGGCAGGAAACCTGCAGCTGTGCCAGTTCCTGCCATGCATTTCAGTGGTGTTTGGGACAAAATGAGCTCAGGTTATTAAATAGCTAAAAACTCCCGAACTTCTCAAGCTCTGTGTGCTCCAAGGGCCTCGTTGGCTCATGTCTCACTGTGGAGAACTGCTGGAGCTCATGTGTGGAAGGGGAAAGTGCTCAAGTCCTCAAAACATTGTACCAGCCTTCACTGGGGTGATGGAGAAGCTAAGGGCTGCACATGGGCAATACCCAACGTTCAGAAAATTAAAATAACTCCCCTAAAGTGCTGTCCGAGAGAGAAGATGCTGTTGGCCGTGTAGGATGAAATGCCAAACTGCTTCTGTGTCTCTTGCAGAGCGACCCCGAGTTTGTTCAGTGGAAAAAAGAGCTGACAGAAGCTTTCACCGAGGCCCAGAGGTTGCTGCGCCGGGCTCCAAAATTCCTCAATAAATCGCGCTCCACGGTCGTAGAGCTCTCGAAGCCCCCGCTCAGCCACAGGAACAGCAACGGGCTGTAGGAGACACCGACCACGATCCCACCGGGAGAGCTGCTTGGTGACCCTGCAGAGCGTCCCAGAATCCTTGTGAACGAACTTTGTGCAGTCCTGGCCGCGGGATGTGCCCGGGAGAGGAGGAGTTCATTCCATGTTTACAGCGTGGGATCACGTCAGGACTCTGTCTGCGGAGGGTGGCAGGGGTGGGGACACCCTGCCCCTGTGGCAGCGCTGGAAGTCACCAAGCACAGAGGCTGCTCCTTGCTCCCCACCCCCGGCGGGGCCCGGCTGAGCTCCGTCCCTCTGGAACTACTGATGGAAGGAAGAGGTTTTTTTGGTTTGTTTTGTTTTTGTTTTTGTTTTGTTTTTTTTTTTTTCCCTGCCGTGCCCTCTCTCGGTGTGCTGGGGGTGGCACGGGTGCTGCTGGCTGGGTGACACTCCCGTGGTGACACGGACGGAGCTGGAGCTGCCGCCTGGCCGTGGTGGGTGCCCCTCACTCTGTCGTGTTGCCGTGTCCTTCCCGACCATTACTGCTGAACTCTCTGATAACCTTTGCTCCATACTGCTGATGATCAACAGTGTGACTCTGATGCACTTCAAAGTACTGAATTCTAACTGTCCTGTGGTTTAAATGTTATTGCTACTTCATGGGAGCGTTGAACTCGAATTATTCCCTGGGTTTGTTGTACTCACTAATAGTAGCTACCACCGTTTTGCTTCTTCTACGTATATGCAGTACTATAACTGACACAATAGAGTAATAATTGGTGAAGAGGAATTTATGGTAGCTTCATCTAGTGCTCTGTTGTATAAATTGACTATTTTAGCACAGTTTTTAAAGAGCAGATTCCTTTTGACAAGTTTACAGTGAACATAAAAGACAGTTCTTTTCCATTTCAGGTCAACTGCACTTTTTAAAAAATTAAAAAGAAAATTATTCAAACCCGGTGCATTCTAGAGCATGTGCTGGGTTCTGGTGTGTGTGGGTACCTCGGTACGTATCCCGGATCACTCCTCAGTCCTGGGACTCGGGATCCTCCTCTGCTGTACACAGGTGTGTTCCCATAGCATAGAAATCCCCAGAAATCCCCAGAAATGCCCAGTTCCCCCTGGAGCCCGGCCCAGGAGGTTCGTGCACATATCACAGCTCGGCTTGGGAAAGGATCTCTCATTTTCTGTTCTGAAGAGTTCAAACTGCCCACAGTGAAAGTAGCGTGAGAAAACCGAGTGTGGAACTGAGAGAACGAGCTGATCAAACGCCAGATTTGTGTTAATTCTACCTGAGGCATCAGATGTGCTGTGTGCAAAGTCTTGCTGAAGGAAAGATCTGATCCTGAGCTGTCCCACAGCTTCAAGCTGCGCCTTACCCTGGGTGCTGTGCTGGTTTGTCAGAGAGGGGTCAGGGCTGAACTTCAGCTTTTTTTTCCAATTCACTGAACAGCTTAGAGAAGATTTTTTTTCCCAGCTGCAGAGGAACAACTCTCACAGTCCCTGAAGACAGTGGAGTTGTGCCTGTGTAAGTGGGAGCAGAATTTGTGCGTGGTTTGTCGAGCGTGTGTGGCTGTCAGATTACCACAGAGTTCCTTGGAGAAAAGTAGTAAAAGTGGCTCTGTTTGCTTCTGCATGGGGGCAGGGTTTGCTGCAGAGCTTGTGCAAACCCTGGCTGACCACCTGGGGCTGCACCAAAGGGAAAATATATTCTGGAAAATAACCCCCTGTGAGTCAGTGGTTCCTTTCAATGATTTTTCACCCCCCTCATTTATTTTCCAAATGTAAACAGTACCAGCCTCTCTGTCATTCCCGTTGAGCATCTCAGCTCCTCTGCAAGGAGCAGTGTCAGAGGTGATTGGTCAAATGTTGGACTTGATGATCTTGGAGGTCTTTTCCAACCTAAAATGATTCCACGATTCTTTGTGTGGTATTTAAGAAGTGTTTGGGATAGAAAATGTCTCATCCCGCTGGCTGTGGTTCAGCTTTCCCTACAATACCATGCAATGCTCGTATTTTTCTCCTTGATTTAGAAAAAAGCCCTCAGATGGTGTTAAAACCTTCTCACAGTTCTTGTGTAACTTGTTTTTACTTTCTTTAGTCCCTGCTCAGTTCCATTCTTCTTCTCCTTCAGTTATTTTCCATGGCTGGATTTCACTCTCACTCCCTGTCAGCAGATTCCGGTGTCAGTGAGGGAGGAGCAGGTCATCAGCTGGGAAATTGTGCCTCAAACCCAGAGATTTTATACGAAATGAAGGCTGTGTATTGACTTAGGGAAATAAATCTATTTTGGAATGTGATGGAGTTGGGATGGTCCTAGAATATCCTCATTATCATGGTCCTTGCTGCCTCATCCAACCTCCAGTGGGAGGGGCAGGAGAAGATTTGGATTTCTTTAGCCAGCTGATTTATTGACGATTGAAAATCTGATGTATTGACGATTGAAAATAGCTTTATTTTTGTGACTTGTATCTAACTGTGCAGCTAGGAGAGGAGAGGTTATCACCAGTGACAAACTCCTGAATGAAGGTGGGATCCCAGTAAGAAATGGGGCTCTGTGTGGAAGTGACTGGGTGTGCTGGTGTGGAGGGAGAGCTGGAATTGCACCCTCCAAACCAAAAAATCCTGGATACTGCCCCAGACTGCTCCTTCCTGGTGTAGGAACCGGAGTCTCTGATGTTTTTGTTTTGGACAAAGATTCCTGGTGGTGTTAATTCGCAGGAGGGTCATTGTCTGTGTGTTTAGGATTCCTCGTTTATTTGCTAATTATTTTGCAAATTCATGAAACTGTTAAAGGAGCATTCACTGTGGGGTGTTTTTTGTGGTTTTTTTTGTTTTTGTTTTCCAATCCTTCATCCGAGTGTTGGCCATCCACTACTCCAAGTGTAAATCTTCTTCCTCTTAGCTGTGTTTGAGCTTTTTTGTGTTCTTGTCCCTGGTCCAGCAGAGCCTCGGCTGAAGGCTCACGGGTTCTTCCCAAAGTGCTGCTGTGAGAGAAGCTGGAGTAATGCTGGAGTGGATCCAGCTGGGATTGACATTCCTGGTATGTTCCCCCACCCCCCAGCAGGCTTCAAAAAATCTTGGAGCCGGCTAATAATAGCTGGAAGTGTGTCTGGGAAGGGAAGCCTGGCAGGTAGGGAGGGAGGGAGCAGCTTCAGGGATAGACCTTGGCTTAGTCACGTTTGAGTTTTCCTTAATTTCTTAATTTTTGGGGCTGCCCTGAGCAGGGCCAGGAGTTGGACTCTGATGATCCTTGTGGGTCCCTTCCAGCTCAGGATATTCCATGATTCTTGTGATTCAGCACCTCCTCTTTAAAAACCCAGTGGAAGATTTTCCTCTCCCACTTTTATCAAGAGGGGGAAACCCAGAAATTAAATTGTGAGGTTGGGTTTAGCTTGGAGATAAATCAGGTGTTTGTAGCCCAGTGTGGAAACGCTGGTTTGTGCTAAAAAAGGCTCGTTTTGATTTTGATCCTGCCCATGGTGGCCACTGCTGGTGCCCAGAGGAGCTCTGGGGTTGATGTTCCCTGAGCAGGACCAGCCTTGGTGCTGGAGTGACTCCATCACCATTCCTCCATTTACAGTGGATCAGCTCATGAGGAGTGAAATCCCTGCAGCTCTGAGCTGCTCTTTCCCTGGCAGCTGGTCAGCTTTTAGGACCAGGTTCCTTGATTCCATGTCCATATCCATGTCCTGCAGCCGTTGGCACGGCGGTGTCACCTCCCAGCACGTGGCAGTGACACGGCTCCTCTGCCTCTGAGGTGTTTGCACCCGAAATATCCCCAGAGGAAGGACTGTTTTGAAGTGTACAGTAGACAATAAATAATTCTAGTTGTGTTGATTAATATAAGGAATGAGTCAGTTCTGCAAATTAAAGAAAAAAAAATCTGAAAAGTGTATTTTGACAAAGCATAGTATTAATTTTAATATTGTAAAAAAAAAAAAGGAAAGTATCTAAAATATACAGAGAAAATATGTATATCCAAATGTCTGAGGAGTTTCAAGATAATCTACTTTTGTTTCCTGTTGGTTTCTATTCCATGGTGTACATATTGTGTGGATGGAACATTGGCTGTTTTAATACTATTGTTAAATTGTATTTTTATTTTGTGTTAAACTAATCATCACAGACTCAGCTTTATTTTGTTTATGTAAAGGTTGCTATGCTCTGTAGGTATAAACCCGAGAATTCTATTTTAACAGAAAAAGCATTTTATATTATTTATTAAATACATGTTTCTCCAACTTCTGACATTCCACAGAATTTCTGCTCCGTATATGTATGGAAGTGGCAGCTCCTTTCAGGCAGGATCAGCCAGCTTTATTCTGTTTTTCATGACAAAATAGGGATAGATTCCCTGAGGCTGTGCAGCTCTTCTCTCCCAGCACAGGGACTCCAGGCTCTGTCAGGACCATCTCACGTGGCTCCTGAATGAAGAAACACCTGGAAAGCTGAAAATCCACCCCTGGATGGGATATTTCCCAAATTCTCCTTTATCCCTCAGCATTCCCAGAGCAAGTGTTTATTCACAGGAGTCTGAGTTAAAGAGAATTAATGACCCCGTCTGGGGCAAGGAGTCAGCGTGGTGTTTGATCCAGCTCAGCCATCAGGGAATTGCAGAGCTCTGTTATTCCGAGGGGAAGGAGTGAGTGACCTGCAGGACCCAAAATGTGCTTACTGGAGATGGGTTTGGTGTTTGAGGGAGATCATTTGATCCTTAAAAACGGGATCGTGAGGCAGCAGCAGTGCCTGTCCTAGAGCCAGGGCAGGACCCTGCTTGGTGTCACGTCCCAGGAGGGGAGTGGTCACCCCAGGACCTGCAGGGACTGTCCCTCGGGGGTGTGGGGAGGGTGGGTGACCCCCAGGCAGGACCCCCTGTACCATCACTCCGGGAGCTGCCTCTGCTGGGCACATCTGGGCACATCTGCAGAGCCAACCCCAGCACCTCCATCCCCAGTGAGGTACAGAAAGAGCCCTTAATTTATCAGGTCGGTCAGTTCCTAAAAATAATTCCAGTTGTGAGCAGGGCCTGTGCAGTGTGAGGAATACCCGAGGTGTAACATTGTGTGCTCTCATTTCCACAGTGGTGGGGCTGGAGGTCTGTGCTGGTCAGGGCTGATCCCCGTGGCATTTCCAGGGTAAAATGGGGCATTTTCCTGCTGCTGAAGTTCTCTCCTTGCTGAGGGGCTGCCTGGGGCAGGGAGGGATCCCTGTTGTGCTCCCCAGAGCAGTCTCTGCCTTCTTTGCCATATCCCTCTCTGAAACCATTGGATTTTGGGGGGAGCTGTAGCCCGAGCTGTTCCTGGAGGGAGGGGGCAGCTGGTGGTGGTGGCATTGTGGCTCCTTAGTGTCACCCCTGCAAAGGTGCCGTGGTGGGGACAGTGCTGAGACTGGTGCTGCTGGCCTGAGGTGTGTCCAGGCAGGGATTTGGCAGAGAACCTGGGGACAGCTGCAGGAAGGTGGCTTTGTCCAGGCCCAGGTTGCTCTGGGTTTGTGTGACACGCTGTGTTTCCAGGCTGGAAAAGGAGATGGGCTGGGAAGAGGCTTTCCTGTTGGTAGCAGGCATCTTCTCAGGGAAAGGGAGAGAGCAGACAGTGGGTGAGATGGCACAAAAAATGTGTGAAAAACAGAATAAAGCAGGAGCATCCTGAGAGAGGGGATTTGTGAGCAGTGCCTCACTAGATCCTTTAAAACAAAAAGGAGCAGATTCACACGAACAGCTACTCGCGATGAAGGAAATGATCGAAAGAGAACCTGTCCAAAAATGTGTAATTAATGGTAAGCAAAGCCAGGATCTGTAAATAACTTTAGATATTGTATCGATGAGATCATTCCTTGTTTTATGTACTTGGCTCTTTCCATATTTATTGTGGGGAGGAGGGTCCCGGTGCCTGTGAGCTGTGGCCTCGCTCCTCACGGACTGTCCCGGAGTTTACAGCCCCGTCGTGGCGGGTGTGCCACACTCGGTTCTTGCCGCCAGTATTTTTTTAACGGATTATTTTGGCACAGCTAAGCTGCTTCTGTGTGTTGGTCAGTACAACTGCTCTCTCCTACGACCAGACCCCAATAAAAACCGTCCTTTGCGTGTGTGCTGGTGTCTCGTTCTTTCCGTGTCACCTGTTCCTTCCCGAGGCTGCACTGGGATGCACTGGGATGTACTGGGATGAGCAGCTGCTTGCAGGACACAGCTGGATGGACCCCACGCCCCGCTGCTCCATGCACAGGTAAGTCCCTTC